AAATCCCTGCCGTCAAGTTGATTCCGACTCATAGTGACCCTATAACACAGAGCAGCACTGCCCCATAGGGTTTCTAAGGCTGTAAATCTTTATGGAAGCAGACTGCCACATCTTTTTCTTGCAGAGTGGCTGGTGGGTTTAAACCACTGACCTTTCAGTTAACAGCCAAGCGCTTTAACCACTGTGCCATCAGGGCTCCTCCTCCTCAGTAAATAATTATTGTATACTTAAAAACAGAATTGAAAACAAGCACACACATACACACACAAAAACATTTTAAAGACCACTCATATACATACAGACACACTCTCCAATTCTGATACACATTCTTTTACCAACACAAATAGGGAAATTCTCATGTATATGTGAGAATTTTATAGTTTAGTTTTCTTTATATGATTTCAGATTAGTTAACAGGTGTTCAGAAACAATGAAATTGATACTGTTTAAAAATATTGCATAAGTCTTCCAATAGTAATATCAATAAAAATGGAATTAGCCTTCCTTGCAGGCTCAATTTTTCCAACACATAATGGAAACATTAATTCAACTGTAAAAGACTACACTGGGAAGAGTTACCATGATCACATCTTGCAAATATTTTTCAACATTATAAAGACTGCAAAACCTCTTGTGTAGCCAGCAACATTTAACTAATTCATCCTCACTTAGCAGTCTCCCCTGAGTTGCCTTGGACTCCCTCAAATTCATTCTCAAGTCCTTCAAACTAACATGTTAAAGGAGTCCACACCTGATCTGTGCAAATATGTCTTGAAATTTTATGGCCTCCCATATGCTGACAAACCAACAATAACAACAACAACAATTATACAAAGGAAAGGCACACCAAATCTACTCAATTATTCTTATGTCCATCTCAATAACTTTAAGAGTCTGATTCATTGACCAGAGATTTCCTTTAAGGTGCTCATTAGGACTCCTAATTCAAAAATGTTCCACAGTTCATTATACCTTTTATGTTCCTTCTCCTAAGTAGAACTTTCTGCCTTCTATAGAACAGGAAACTGAGTTTTATGATGAAAAAAAATTATGACAATTCCAAATGAATTGTTTCCCTTCACAAGAGACAAGTTAAAACTCTAAAACTAAGGAAAATCCACCAACTTAGTAGTAATGTAATTGACGACTAAAATGAAAACTGAAATTTAACTTAATTTAAATCAATTCACACCTCTGGATTATATGCAAAAATGGTGAAAGATGCTATTTTACTGAAATATTTGGAATAGGCTCACTTTAGCTCAAAACCTACCTATCGCATGAAGAATCCTCAATGGGCTTTGGAAAGTCAAAAGTCTGACAAGCGAAGGAAAGATTTCAGAAGATAAGAATGACTATTGCTGGGGTGAAATTTAAGGTCAAGCATAATGGTAATGATTGGATTATTGAGGTCTAGCAGAGAGCTAACGTTATGCCAAGTTTACCACTTTGAAATTTCCCTTCTGTTTGCTAATAGCATTGGTACACAGTCTACTCTCTGCACTTTCTTCTTTGCACCTTCTATGCTAGGTATAGACCCTCTCCTCACACATTTTTTGGTGAGGCACATGGGGATGAGAGGTAGATTCCCAGGGAGCACAAGATTGCTACTAGGTCTATGCTTTCCATACTTCTATGTTGTATTCAAGGATCCCTGGTGGTGCAATGGTTATATGCTTGGTTGCTAACTGAAAGGTTGGCAGTTCAAACCCACCAGCCGTTCCATGGGAGAAAGACTTGGCAGTCTGCTTCCGTAAAGATTTACAGCCTTGGAAACCCTATAGGGCAGTTCTACTCTGTCCTATAGGGTCGCTGTGAGTCGGAATTAACTCAAGGGCATGGGTTTGGTTTTTTGGAAGTTGTACCCAGTTTCACGCATTATAATCATTTCCTCAACAGAGTTCAAATACCAATGGGGCATTTAGTTCTCTCCCAAATAGGACAACTTATTTCGTTTATGATTCACAGGCCTTGAATTCTAGTTCCTA